TCTTTTAAAATTTTCATAATCTTTATCTGTACGAATATCACCAACATAATTAATTAATGATTGATAAAGCTCAACAACAACACTTAAATCAATATTTACACTTTGAAGTTTTTTGCTAACTGCATTAAACCTATGTAATATGTCTCCCCAAAAAATTGACAAGAAAGATGTTTCTAATGATTTAAGTATTTTGAGTATACCATTTGCTTCACATCGAATAGCTGGTTTTTCTTTTTCATTTTCTCCAATCTTAATTAAAGCATTTTCAATAGATGACCAATTTTTATTTAATGAATAACATGCATCATCTCTTGCAGACCACCTTGTATCTGATAATCTCTTGATTGAAGAATTTAAAATCTGCCATCGGTAAGTTGATGCTGAAAAGAATGTGTACAAGTTTTGAAGAAAGTTAAAAAAATGAATAGCTTCATCACAACAGCTGGCAGCATTTTGTCCCACTAAATTTAATGAGTGAGCCGAGCAGGGAACAAACTTGGCCAATGGATTTATCAGTTTTATTCTAGCTTGTAATCCAGAGTAACTACCCGACATGTTACTTGCATTGTCATATGACTGCCCTCTTAAATAGTTAAGATTCAAATTGTACTTATTCAGAGTTGTTATCACTGCTTCAGCCATATCTTCTGATTTATGTCCAACATTATTCATAAAACATAAAAAACGCTCAAATACATTACCACTTTCATCAACAAATCGTACAACTAAAGAAAGTTGATCAGTGTGGGTAATATCTGGCGTTGAATCAACACTAATTGAAAAATATCGTGAAGTATTGACATCTTGAATAATAGTATTTTCTACTTTTTTAGACATTATTAAAATAAATTGCTCATAAATATAATATGATAAATATGAAGAATGACCTTTACCGGGATTACCATTTTTGGAAATATGGTTTGATATAAAAGGGTCAAATTCAGCTGATAACTCAAGTGCCATCATAAAATTTCCATTACGTGGACATCCAATTTTTGAAGTATGTCCTCTGAATGCTAAACCTCTTGATGCCAATGTTTTAACAATTGCCACAACTCTTTTTAAAACATTGATCTAATACATACGTTCATTTTCAATTTGTTGTATTATTTGTTGATCAATTCTTTGATGTGTTTGTCCTCGATTTTTCATTGCTAGAATATTTGAACGATGTTTTAAAGAATTTTCATGTCGTGATATGAGTTCTTCAGCTCTTTTCCAGTTTGAAAATCCTTTTGAAGCAAATGAAGATGAATTTATGTTGCCAAACAACAAGCATGGGATACAGTAAATTACACCCTTACTTTCTGAGTATGCAATGAAATTACGTTTAATTGAATCACCATTAGTTAGTCTTGTATTCCAATAGTTTTTATTGCAAAATCTTAAAATTAAATTAAAATAAGGTTAAGTTATTAAAATTATCTTATCATTAGTTACTAAAACTTAAATTTGTACCTATAGTAGGTTTTGGTAGTTTTTTTGTGAAGTTTTGTATATGCTCGTTTAGACTTGGTAAAATTTAAATCATTTAAATCTTGAGAAAATCCATTAATACAAATATATTCTATAGTGAACTCGTTTATTTTCCATAAAGCAGGATCACATCTATGAAAAACAACAACTATTATATATTATATTGTAATTGATTTATTTTAATCCATAAATACTAAAATTAAGTGACTGGTATGTAAAAAATTATGAAAACACTACAAACACTGAACATGGTTATTTTAAAACAAAACTAATAATTATGTAATTTTCATTTAATCACTTAATTCCTTTTTAACTATTTTAATACACCTACCAAATTAAAACACATAAATATTAGAATAGTATTTGTATTGAATAGTGTTTATTTATATTAAAATATTAGTAAATAATTTAGGTATCTTACAAGTAATTATTAAAATATTAACATAAAATAATTTACCGAGGAATATCAGTAGGCTCAAACAAAACATCAGCAGTTTCATTATTCTTAGATGACAATATATCAGTATTTATCTCAGAAATACTATCTATTAAATAATAAAATACAATTATTTAATTACAAATATAAAATAGTTACATTTTTTATTTACTTTCTGTCTTAATATAACCACTACCTTTTGTAAGTTTGTGTTGTTCAGAACTGTTTACATTTGAATAATCTGGGTTCATTTGTATTTGTGTACCTTGGTTTAACATCTCCAGTTTATCATCTGTATCTATTAAACATAAAAAAGAATTATTTAATTTCAAACATAAAATAAATATAATTTTAATTTAATTTCTGTCTCAATATTTCCATCATTTTTTGTAGTCATGCTGTATAGAACTGCTTACATTTGAATAATTCAGGTTTATATTTATTTTTGTAGGTAGGTTTAACTTTAACATATCTAATTCATCAAGTTTCAATTATTATTCAAATTGATTATAAAATTCAAAATATAAGTTTCAAAGTAAACCAGCTTTTATTAACTAATTATAACTTTAACTAGTTAATAAATACAAAAATTTGATCACTAAAAATGTCAATAGTTATAAGAGACAATTATCAGATAGGTAGTCTATACTAGGTATAATATCTGTGGTTGGGAGCCAAAAGCTGATATGTGAAAAAAGTACATTTTTCAGGAGAGCAATTTCAAAATTTTATAAAACCATAAAATACATCATTTCCACTTTATGAATCACCATTGCGTGCTACAAATTATATTTTTATACATTTCGTAGATCATGTACATACGATACAAATTACATATTGATGATATTTAAAAAAAATTTATTTAATATACTTTTCAATACATTAAGATAACACCAACGTAGTTATCATATTTTGGCACAATTTTTTGGGGTAGGCAATTAACATAACACATTTTGACAATTTAACTTTATTCAACTTTATCCTTTTTATACTTAATAATTAATATAAGTAACATAATAATAATAATAATAATAATAATAAAATAAAATTATAAGTGATGCCATACGAAATAAAAATAAATTAATAAAATCTTTAGTAATACCATAAAAAAAAAAAAAATGAAAAAACAGAAAAAATATTTAGTCCATAACTAATAAAATAAAACAATACAATATTATCAATACTTCATAACAATTATTAAAACTTATTCATCATCTGATGAATCATTATTATTTATAGGTGTGTTTTTGGTCTTAGTCTTTAGTCCATGGTAAAAAGGGTGGTATATTGGTCTAATCAATGGTAATAAACTTAAGAGATCTTTTTTTTTTTCTGTGTCGATAGGGTTAGGTTTATTATAGGCCTGTGGAAGTATGACTTGAGATACATTAGTTGGTTCTTTTCCAGATCTTGTTTTACCTGTTATCTTACGGATGTCTAATTTTCTAAATGGAGCTTCTGTATCTAATGAATTTTTGAATTGGATAATACCAAAAGACTTGTCATACCTCAACCATGATATTTTTAACCAATTAATTTTATCTTTGTTCTCATCTATGTTTCTTTTAGTTAAAGTACCTAATAAAAGTGCTGAAAATTTTTTAAAATGTTCCATTTCCATTTCTACAACTTTTAATGGAATTTTTCCTCTGACATTCCGAACAAAGTTATACCAGTCAATAGGTATTGAAATTTCGCAGTCTGATAGTTTTTTGGCTTTTTCAATTCTCGAGTGATCAGAGTCACACTCTAAATGAGTATGACCTGGTACAAGAAATTTCTGGTCTATGATTTGTAGAGTTGGATGTTTCTGGATTGCCAACATAAACATTATAGCCACATTAATGTTCCGATTTTGACCTGCACATGTGTCTGAATATGTAATTAAATGATTAATGGAATTTGGTATTTTTTCCATAATATGCTTAAAAAAAATTGAACCAATTTCATTAGATCCGCGGCCAGCCAATCCTTCATGCCACATGTAGCAATAAGATTCTTTTGATCCAATATCCCTAATTGTTTCGTTGTAAGTCCACAGCTGCCTTTTATAAAAAACTACATTTGTTTTAAGGTCAGGAGTAGGTAGACACTGTTGCAAATCAAATACAATTATTTTGAGTGCTGGAGTTGTATTTAATAACGCTTTGTCTTCTTGTTTTGATTTATATGCAGAATCAAACATGTTTTTATGAATATTATTTCTTTCAGTAAGAAGTTCTAATTCTTCCCCATTTAAATATTTGGATTTTATATTAAATTCATCACATGTTTTACAGGTGTCAACATATGGCAATTTAAACTTTAACCCTGTTTCTCCAAAAACATCTCTATATAGCCAATTTGATGGACAATCCTTACCATTACTTGCACATTGTTCTTTATATAGATCATACATTTTTTGAATATTTAAATTAGGCGACAAATATAATAAGCTAGTGTTTTTTCTCGAATAATGGCTCTCATATGCAGGAAAACTTTTGATATGTAAAAGAATGTTTGCTCTCTCTTCTTGTAGAAAATTATGTGATTTGTGAGTACCTGTACCTGATTTAGGTGATATTCCTGTGATTGAAACTTTTTTTTTTTGTATCATTACATCAACTCTTCCACGCCCTATTCCATAAATATTTTGAAACATTTTCTTACAAACTACCAATATTTTACCATTTACATGAAGATGATATTTCACTGTAATAAGTCTATCATGTGTAGTTTGTGGTAATGATTTTCTATTAAAAGTAGTTGTTCTTTTTTTATCTTCTATTTGAATAGCATCCATTAAAATTTGTTCTTGTGCTGACAAGTTACCTAATTTGTAAAATTCCTTAAAAATTAATTGTTGTATTTCTTCAGAACAAAGTAATGTAGAACAACTTTTTTTACAACATGTTGTTGTGAGAGGCTTAAAAACTTTCATAGTTTTAATTTTACCCTTTCGATCTTCATACTCTTCTCCAAGTTGCTTACGGTTATTCATACATTTCCGTTTACCTCCTATGTAGGGTAGAGTATACTGTTATTGGTACGGGTACAGTTATTGGCATCCTAAAACTGTTAATTTAATAAATAGTTATGTGTATGACTTATAAGAGTTTTTTTTTTATACATAATTGGCGACACTGGTCAAGTTTCGCTCCAAATTGTTATCTTTATTATTTGATTGCGTTTAGTTTATATTTTACCAAACAGCAAACGGACGTCTCGGCTCGTATTCAAAACAGGTAATATTCTTATACATTTTGTACTTTATATGTCTACGGCGATAGTGTTTTATTATTCGAAAATTATATTTTAAAGCCTATGTTAGGTGTTTTCATATATTTAAGAACATGTTTAAACCATAAATGATAGTTTTAAGTTGATTTATTTGATAAATATACGTATTAATTCTGGTGATAATAACTATAATCAATATTTAATGATTTTAGTTATTGGCATACCATGCCAATAATTGATTATAGTTGAATAATTCATAATTGTTTTATTGGCATACCATGTATTGTTGACAAATAAATTAATTTAAGTATTCACATTTAAATTCATGTTATTTCAATACTCAATAAAATTGTTAAAATTATCTAAAGTATATTTTGTCGTATTTTAGTCATGCCGAAAAAAAGAGAAAATTTTTGTCAGTTAAATATAACTGCTGCAGTTAATGCAGTTTTAAATGACGGTTTAAGTAAAAAAGCAGCTGCAAAAAAATTTGGTATTTCAAGATCTACTCTACAGTTTAGGCTTAAAAATCTAAATGGAAAAACATCTTGTGGACCAGCAACTGTATTGTCAGATAAAGAGGAAGAATTGTTACAAACTTGGATAATTGAAAGCTGTAAAAAAGGTTTTCCAAGAAGAAAAGAAGATTTACAAATGAGTGTGAAGCAATTTTTGGATGTAAACAACAGACTTACTCCTTTTAAAAATAATATGCCAGGTATTGATTTTGTAATTTTTATGGGTTTATGTGTAAAAATGTAGGTAGGTATTAGGAATATATTTTTGTTTGTAGGTAATGGTTGGTATAGGGCATTCATGCAAAGACATCCATTGATATCGATCCGAACAAGTGAACGTGTCACAACTGCCAGTGCATGTGTCAGTGAAAAGGACATAAAAAAATGGTTCTCTGACATCCATCAATATCTAGTAGATGAAAAACTTGATGACATATTGCAAGATCCCACTAGATTATTCAATGGTGATGAAACTGGATTCTCGCTATGTCCCAAAACCAAATCAGTTTTAGCTCCAAAAGGAGCTAAAGATATTTATGAGGTAGCAGTAGGTAATGCTAAAGAAAATCTTACAGTTATGTTCACATTTAATGCTGCTGGTGACATGTGCCATCCGATGGTAATTTATAACTATCAGAGAATCCCACAAGATATTGTAAATTCTGTTCCTCCCAATTGGGGAATAGGTCATTCCGAATCAGGTTGGATGAAATCTGAGGTTTTTTATGAGTTCATTGCGAATATATTTTACCCTTTTGTAGTTGAAAAGGGAATAACATTTCCTATAATTTTATTTGTTGATGGCCACAAAAGCCATCTTACCTATCAATTAAGTGAGTTATGTACAAGTTTTAATATTATATTAATTGCGTTATATCCAAACTCCACTAGAATTTTACAGCCAGCTGATGTGGCTGCATTTCGACCACTTAAATCTGGTTGGAAAAAAGGAGTGTTTGAGTGGAGAAAAGACAATAATTTAAGTACAGCTGTAACTAAAAAAGATTTTGCCCCTATATTAAAAAAGGTAATTGATGAAACTGTTAAAGCAGAAACTTTAATTAATGGTTTTAAAGCTTGTGGATTGTACCCTTGGAATCCTGATTCTATTGATTTTAAAAAATGTCTTGGTACTAATACAAAAAAAACTGAATTAGTCAACGAAATTAATAATACACAATATCAATGTCCTCTTACTCTTGAACAATTTTGTAATACTGTAAGTCCTGAATGTATTAAAAAGTTTGAAAAATTTAATGATATTGTTAAATCCAATGTTATTAGTGAAGAATTTCATGCATTATATAAATTGTATCAATTACTTAAATCTAATGATAAAAATATGTTAAATAGTGGTGTGAAGTGTATTTCAGAGGCTGATGAGCAGAATTTATTAGATTTTATAGAAGACCAAAATGAAGTAACTATAGTTGATGACAGTTTTTTTGATAGTAGTAAAGGAGTTTTTCAAGATGTAATAGAACAAAACAAAATGGATGTGTGTGTAGAAGCCAATAAAGAGAAAACAGATTTTATTTGTAATGAAATAGAAAATACAAGAAAACAGGATGAAATTGAAATTAGTATAGAGAAGAATGTAGTTACACCCAGACATTTAAATGGAAAAACTTTTCAAATTTCTCCTTTAGAATCATGTCTTGTGTGGCCAGTTACTCCAGAAAGGAAAGGTAAACGTAATATTGAAAGAGTACCATATGTTGTATCATCTAAAATGTGGAAAAGTATGAACCAGTCTAAAGAAGATAAAAAGAAACAAATTGAGCTTGAAAAAGAAAATAGAAAAAAACACAGAATACATAATAGATTGGTTAAATCGAATTTGGTCAATGATAAAAAATTAAAAACTGTTACTAAATCAAAGGTTGTGAGAAATATATTTCAAAAAGATATTGTGTATAAGAAAAAACCATCTGAAACTGTAACTAGTGGTGTGTTGGCTGAAAGTTTATGTGATGATATAGCACCTAATATTGTTGAAGAAATAGATAATGATATTCCAACCACATATGTAACCGTAGGACTTTGTTTTGGTTGTGGGAGAAATTTAAGTGAGTTGTTGAAAGGTGTTGATTGTGCCTTTTGTTCACATATGTATCATTTGAAGTGTTTAACCACAGATGAATTCTGTGACATGGGTGAAAATGAACCTATTTTATTCATTTGTAAAATATGCCAAAAAGACTTAAAGTAAGGTACATATAATACCTATTTTGATCTTAAATTTATATGTATTAACTAAGACCTAAAGGTAATAAAGGTCTTTTTATAAAAAGGGAAAATATTAAGTTTATTAATTGTATTTAAAGACTGATTGTTTTTATTTTATTTTATTGTTTTGTTATTAATTTCTATACCTACATTATTATTTGTTATGGTTATATCTAAAGGTGAATTTATTGATGTTGATCAAATTCCTAATTTTTTATAAAAAAGGTAAAATATTAAGTTTATTAACTGTAATTAAAATTATTTTAAAGATTGATTGTTTTTATTTTATTGTTTTTATTTTATTGTTTTGTTATTGATTTCTATACCTACATTATTATTTATTATGGTTATATCTAAAGGTGAATTTATTGATGTTAATCAAATTCCTAACTTTTTATAAAATTATAAAATATTAAGTTTGTAAATTGTGATAAAAATTAATTTAAAGACTGATTGTTTTGTTTTTTTTATTTATTATTAATTCCTATACCTACATTGTTACTTATGGTTTTAGGTAGGTATTGACTAAAAGTAAAATGGGTTTTATTCTTAAGTTTTGTATAATATTTAAATGTATTATACAATTATTGTTCTAATAAAATATTAATTTAAAGTAGGTACCTATTTGATTTGAAATTGCGTTCACACTAATAAATTATTATAGAATCAATTGAAAAAAATTATATATATTTATTATTATTATTATATATTCTGTTATTTTATTAGTTGTATTTTACCTAGTTGAAATAAATTTATTTTTTAGGTAGGTAAGTACATATTTTTGATTTTTTAACAAATACTATAGTAGATGCCAATAGCTATGTACTCGGGTGCCTATAACAAAAACTACATGCCAATAACTGTAGTTTTAGTAAAAACTGATAAAATACCTATTTTAAACGAAAATGACAATATTTATATCAATTTTACCTCTTAAGTAAAGTAAAGATAAGAATATTTGGAATTCAAACATTTATTTTCAGTTATTGTATCATAATTATTTTGTATTCCATGATTCATTAAAAATGAGTATCTGCTTAAAGTGCCAATAACTGTATACTCTACCCTATCGAGTACCTTTAATATTAATCCATGTATATTTCCATAATGAATC